GGCGCAGGTCGGGCGAAAATGCATCTCGGGCCTCGTAAGGTAAGGGTATGGATTGCAAATTAAAACGGCGCCTTCGATCAGACATAAGGCAAAAGACCGAAGAAACCTCACCGCCACATCATGGTTCTCACGCGTATTCATCATATGGCGGTCCTGGAGGCAAGCTTGGCAAAAGCGGGAGCGAGAATCCAATGTTTTTTTTGACAACCATCACAAAACAGCGGCCAAACGAAGAATACAACGATTGTGACACAATCTAAAATATGACATCATTTTTAGATATCACGATTCGTGAATAAATCGCTCGAGTTTGTGACGAGTTCCAGGCGCCTTCAGGATGCAACTTATCTCCAAGGGTGTTAAGCTAACAGGGTTACATCGGTAAGTCGGGGGGGAAGCCAAGCACCTGGCCACCACCGAGATGGCCATAGCGCTACTCAGGGTCGAGATGGATCAATCAGGTCAGAACAGCTTGAGCAGACGGCTCAAGATCGAGTCTCAAGCTCGCGTCGGCACGATGATGGGGGGTTGGAAGCTCGAGCGATTCCTCGGATTTGGCTCCGCAGCGGCCGTATATACAGCGACTGACGGGGAGCGCTTCGCCGCGCTCAAGACCCTCCACAAGAGCAACCAATCGAACGAGCAGGTACGCGCGCGCTTCAAGCGCGAGGCGGAAGTAACCATGAGCATCGACCACGAGAACGTGGTCAAGGTCTACGACATCGGGACGAGCGATGACGGAGAGCTCTACATGGCCATGGAGATGCTCGACGGCCTGGCGCTCGATGAGTTTTTGACCCGCAAGGGCGGCAAGCTCGGCCCGAGGAACGCGTTGCGCATCACGCAGCAGCTCCTGGCAGGTCTGGCCGCGAGCCACGCCAAGGAAGTGGTCCACCGCGATCTCAAGCCATCCAACGTCTACATCACGCGCCAGCGAGTCATCAAACTGCTCGACTTCGGCGTGGCGCACGTCGAGCAAGCGGATCAACGCCTGACGATGGATGGCACGGTGCTCGGCACGCCGGCGTTCATGCCACCAGAACAAGCGCGCGGCAGGCTGGATATGTTGGACGCGCGCTCGGACACGTTCGCCGTGGGCGCGGTGTTGTTTCATATGCTCACGGGTCGCTACGTGCACGAGGGCACCAACATCGACGAGGCGTTGATTTTGGCGGCGACGCGACCCGCCGAATCGATCGCCCGTTTCGAGAGTGATTTGCCCGAGCGCGTCATCGCGCTGGTGGACAAGGCGCTCTCGTGGAACCCGGCCAAGCGATTCGCCAACGCGAGCGAGATGCTGGCCGAGGTCGAGGTCTGCCTGGACGTCAAGGCGGCTCTCAATGCGCGCAGCGCGGGCGTTGGCGCCGACTCGGCGAGCGCTCAGATCATGGCGCAGAGCTCCGAGCACGACGCGTCCGAAGGGACAGAGGAAGAAGAGGACGAGATCCAGGACGAGGATCTTCGCGAGCTCCTCGCCGCCGCCGAGGTCGCCTTCCAGCAGTTCGAGCGCTCGCTCGATATGGCGCGCAAGTACTCCTGGGGACACCAGGAGACCCAGGCTCAGATCCGCCGCACGCACGAAGCGCTGCTCGGCTGCATCTCGATCTACCCGGACGAGGCGATCTTCACGCTGCGCCCCTACTCCTTTAGCCTCGCGGGCAAGGACGTGTGGGAACCTCGCGAGCCCTTCGACGAGATCACCTACAACATGTTTAGCTGCGGCATCCGCTCGCTGCACTTCAAGCCGACGCTGCCGCTCGAAGAGTTCGTGAAGTTGCTGGGCATCATGATGCTCGATCCTCGCAAGGATCTTCCCCCCGAGGATGACCTCGGCACGGCGATCTGGGAGGCGAACCTGGAGCATGTCCAGGTGCAGATGGTGAGCACGTTCAGGCTCGATGACGCCGCCGAACAGGCGACGTTTTTGGAGAACTGCGAGGAGGAGCAAGCGCGCGTGGAGCGCTTTATGGGCGAGGCGCGCAAGATACAACTCGAGCGCGCGCAGATCCTGCTCTCGATGGGCGAGGACGCCATCGCCGAAGCACAGGGCGCCATGCTCAACCACGAAGCCACCATGGGACAGGAGAGCCCTCTCATCGAGGGCGCGATCAACAAACAGGAGGTCATGAGGCTCTCCGCGGTCCTCAACAGCGACCCTCCGCTCGAGCAACAGCTCCCCTACGTCCTCGCCGAAACCTACCGCGAGGCGATGCGCGGCGAGGAGCTCGAGCAGATGCACGAGTCCCTGCGCGATTACTTCGCGCGCTTCGTGCGCCGGAAGCAATACCAGGACTTGTTGCGCACCCACGCCAGGCTCTGTCTGGCGCTGCGTGACCCTGGGCTGACCGCGCAGGTCACCGCCGAGATGTTCACGCCAGAGATCTTCGACACGGTGCTCGACGCGCTCACGCGAGGATTGACCGAACAGGGCACCGAGCAAGAGCGCGCCCTGATGCAGGATAAAGCTACCCTGGAACACCTCAAGGAGTTGCTCGTCAACCTCGGGCCGCAGCACGCAGGCGCCATCGCCCGAATTTATCCGCGCGTGCAGAACTTCAAGCCTTTCGTGCGCCTCTTCTACGCTTACCTGCGAAAACATATCGCAGGGAACGAGGAGCATATCGGCGAGATCATCCCCAAGGTCGAGCTCCCTCACGCCAAGGCGTTCATCGAATTGCTCCAGGCTCAGGACAACAACGAGGCGGTCAACGCGCTGCGACACGCGAACTACCACCCGGACCCCGCGCTCAAGCTCGAGCTGCTCGAATGGCGCGCGGCGCGTGCGCCCGAATCCGTCGCCATCGAGGTCATGGACCTGGCGCGCGGAGATGCCCCGGACCTGCGGGTGCGCGCCTTTCAGATCGCCAAGCGCCACAACGTCCCCGGGCTCGCGCAGTGGATCTCGGATCGCGCCAGAGAGGAAGACTTCTACGACCTGCCCTACTCGGAGCGTCGGTTGATGCTCTCGCTCCTGCTCGCGCAGGATCAACGGCTGGCGTTCAAGCTGGCCGTCGAGCTGATCACGACCCACGGGCTCACCGCGAACCCCACGCGTGACACCACGCGCTTGCTCGCGGTCGAGATCTTGCGCGATATGCCGACCACCCCGCACGTGCTCGAGGCGCTCGATGTCGCCACCAAGCGACGCCCCTGGAACAGCAAAGAGCTGCAAGAGGCTGCCGCGGCCGCCATCAAGCACCACCGAGGAGGACGATGATGCTCGAGGAGCAATCCCCCTTTGACGATCCCTACGCGCGCCAGGAGACCTTCGTCCTGACGCTCTTCAGGTTGTTCAAGCTGGCCACGATGCACGACCTGAACAACCAGGCGATCGGCCGCGGCCTCTCCCACGCGGCGCAGACCTTTAGCGAGATCTTCGCGCGCGAGAGCACGGACCTGAGCGCGCTGTTCACGAGCGAGAACGTCTTTATCAACGGGCAACCGCTCAAGGCCTCTCGCAACACCTACGAGAGCGTGCTCGAGCTGGGCAGGTTGCTCGAGCGCACGGGCTTTAACGAGCTTCGCCTCGGGCGCTCGGTCTCGCGCGATGATCTCTCACAGATGCTCGAGCACTTCACGCTGTTCAGGAAGGACCCTCCAGGAAACCGCAGCGTCCAGCTCACGCGCAACGTGCGCTTCAAGCACGTCGACCCCACGTTCATCCTGGGCGAAAACGAGGGTGAGTTGACCATCGAGGAGCGCGTCGCGAGGATCTACACCTCCGCGCTCGTGATCATGCGGCGCGCGCTCGAGGCGCTCGCAGAGGGCGAATACCGCCTGATGAACACCATCAAGCGCGTGGCGCAATCGATGGTGATGATCGCAGATCAAGATCCGGGCGCGCTCCTCAGCGCGCTCGGGCAACGCCCGGACAGGGATGATCCCGCCACGGTCGCCGTGCACACCGCGGTGCTTTCCACGGTGATGGCGCGCAGCCTCTCGAGAGACCTGACCACGCTCAGTGATATCACCACCTCATCGCTGATGGTCCACGCCGGCGAGCAGCGCCTGCGCGCGCTCAACAGGATCGAGGATGACCCGTTCGGGGACGCCCTGCCCGCCGCGCTGACGTCCTCGGACCAGAAGCGCGTGCCGGTCTCCACGAGCGCGGTGACGGCGCTGATGAGCGGGCTCTACCTTCGCAGCCAGCGCCGCATGTTGATGTCTTACGAGGCACAATGGCTCGAGCGCGAGGACGAGCTCGGCCCACTCTACAGAGGCAAGCTCCCGCCATCGCTCTCTGCGGTGATTATCGCCAAGAGCTTTCGATTCCAACAACTGCTCGCCTTCGACATCGCCGCGCAGCGCCCTCGCACACCAGACGAGACATTGGCGATCCTCGTGCAGGAATCCGCCACGGCAGCAGACAAACTCGTCCTCAAGCTGCTCTGCACCACGCTCGGGCTCTACCCCAAGGGGACACAGCTCCAACTCTCGAGCGGCGCGCAGGCGGTCGTGGCCAGCAATCACGAGCTGCCGGTGCTCTACGATCGCCCGCTGGTTTATCTGGTGAGTGGACCGGGTGGCGTTTACCTCCAGCCGAGGTTCGTGGATCTGGCGAGCCTCGATCCCGATATCGTGCGACTCGGGAACCCGCTCAAGGTCCTCAACTACACCGAAGGAACGCTCGCCAAGGCGGCACAAATCATCACTTCGGGGCAGCTCGAGATCCCGCAGGTCAAGCCACCGGAGCTGGGGAAGATCAAGCTCGAAGAATTCGCCGCGCCGAGCAGCGGACCATCCCCAGGCGTGCATATGCTGACCTCGCAAGGCGCGCGCAAGGCGCGCCTCGGGAGCATCCTCGATTCGGTCAACTCCGCCATCAAGTACACCTCCCCCAACAGCGAATACGACAAGGATCTCTTCAACGATTAAACGCCTACGGGCAACAAGAAGGGAGAGAGGGGCATCCGCAAAACGGATGCCCCTCTCTATGCTCTCCAACTCGGCGCGTGAACACGGAAGGTCGGGGTCTGGCGCTCGAAGACGAGGCCGTCAACTCACATCTGAACCGTATCCGGGCGTATGTACTCGTTGCGACACTCGCCGTTAAGCTGGCACGTATCCTCGGTGAAGACGACGCCATCATTGCAGTCATCATCGGTCTCACAGCGCGGCTCCTGGGTGCGGTCGACAACATTGCTGCACTTGTTATAGTCGCAGGAATCTACCGTGAAATCGACGCCATCATCACAGTCAGAGTGAATGTGACACTGGAGCCCAGGTCCCTTCACCTCAGGGTTTGGGGTCGTGTTTCTCCTGTGCTCGCATCGGTTGGCGATGCAAAGGTCTTCGGTGAGTACCGAGTTATCATTGCAATCCGTGTCCTGGTCACAGTAGCCCGTGATCGGGCTGTTGAGGCAGAGCCCGACGCTCTTATCACAGACATCGAGAGTCGAGGCGACACCATCATCGCAATCCTCGTTCGTGGAGCAACACCCGGGGCGCTCGCTCACAGAACAGGTGCAGCTGCTGTTGCAGTCGTAGATCTGGCACGACGTCACGCCTGGTCCGATACAATCTGCGTCCACTCTGCACTCCGTGCCGCGCCCGCAGTTAGGAGACGCGAGCTGCACGTCGGAGGCAATGCACCCATCGGCGAGCTTGTACTCCTTTCCTTTAAACTCCCAGTCCTTGTCGACGAGCTTGGTCTTGATGATCGGGATTTGAAGATCGAGCCCGACGCTCGGGGTAAAGCCAGCATAGAGTTCGTAGCAGAGTTCTCCCTCGAACTCCCCATCGGAGTTAAACTCTCCAGTGCCGTCGCTGGTGACCTCAGCGTAGCCCTTGAGCGCCGCGTTCCCCGAGAGCGTCCCCAGGATCGAAAGGGTCAGTTGTGGCTTGAGGTAGACTCCGAAAGTAGCGCTACCTGACTGGGAGAACTCGGGCCCGATTTGTTGGAAGTTGCTCTCGGTTTTCGTGAGGTCTTTGAAGCCAATCCCTCCTCCAGTCCAGGAGAACCCCACGGTAGCGGACGCATCGTATTCAAACCCTGCGCTGGCGTGGATATCAGTGTTGCTATTGAAGTAAACACCGCCATAGAGCTCGGGGATGATGCTCAACGACAAGCCGCCTTTGATTGGAAGCGCGATAGAGGAAAACGTTGTAATCTTCTTCTCTTGCTCGAGGGAAACAAAAGACTGCCCCTCTCCCAACGTAACCGACGCCGCTGCTTCGAGAATGAGCTCCAACCCTGCGCTCAAGCTGACCTCGAAGTAGGTCGTCCTGTTTGGGCCCCATTGCAAGATCGCGGTGGCGTCCCCAGTCAACGAGAAGTGGCACTGCTCGAGCTCGAGCTCGATATTGGCCAGCAGGTCACTTCGCACGAACACACCCTCATCGATCAATTTTCGGGTGCAGTCGAACCCGACGATGGGGTTTAAGCCCTGCATACGCTCCTGCATCTCTGCCATCTCCTGGGTGGGGCCAACGGCATCGGCTGGGACCATCATCTCCTGGGTGATGGTCACCGTCGTGTGAACTCGCCCCTCCTTGAAGACCTCTTCGAAATCCGCTCTGCGGACCTTTATCCGAACCTCACGATCGCGTCGGTCGACGGACTCGATGATAGCCATAAACGGCTTTCGGTCGCGCCGAGCACGATAGATCGGCGCGCCAGGCCGGATCTTCTCGTGCAGCTCGGCACCAGGCGCGAGGCGCATTTTGATCGCCATGGCATCGCGATCGAAGGTGATCTCCTCGAAGCCGAGGCGCTCCTCAGCATCAAGACGAACGGCCTCTGGCATGGGCTCGACGCACTCATCCTCCAGGTCGACGCCTTCGCAAGAGAGGGGGATTTGAACATCGTCGTACTCGGGCTGGTGCTGGGTCGCATCGAGTGAAGGCTCCTGCGGCTCCGTACCACAGCTGGCGAGCAAGCCGATCAAAGAACAAGCAAACAAGGTCAGGAAGGTATCGTGTCTTTTCATGATGAATCCTGTTTTTGAAGAATGAAAAAGTGAAGGGGCCATGACCCCCTCTCTTTTCAATCCTTGTGCCAAAAACAGATCAACCATAATTACAACACCTTAACACCCCTAACCAAACCCACGACAAAAATAACACCCCAAAAAACCTGTCAACAAAATGTCAAAAACACCAAAATATGTCATTTATGACACAACACAACGCTACCCAAGGTCCTCCTCCAAACAAGAAGGGAGAGAGGGGCATCCGTTTTGCGGATGCCCCTCTCTCCCTTCTTGTTTGGTCTGGCGCTGGTATCAGTCGTCGACCGAAATCACAGAATAGCACGTGCTGTCGACGCGCTCTCGCCCGGCGAGGAAGCCGAGCTCGATGAGGAAGGCGCACTCGACGACCTCGGCGCCGAGCTCCTTGGCGAGCGAGACGGTCGCCGAAGCGGTGCCTCCGGTGGCGAGCAAATCATCGATGACCACGACGCGCTGACCTGGCTTGACCGCGTCCGAGTGCATCTCGAGGCGGTCGGTGCCGTACTCGAGCTCGTAGTCGATGCCGACCTTGTCGGCGGGCAACTTTCCGGGCTTGCGAACAAGCACCAGGCCGACGCCGAGCGCATTGGCGAGCGGCGCGCCAAAGATAAAGCCGCGGCTCTCGATGCCGAGGACGGCGTCGATCTTTTGATCGGCGTACCTGGCGCGAAAGTGCTCGGTGATGTCGTTGAACAGCGCGCCATCCTGGAGCACTGGCGTGATGTCTTTAAAGAGGATCCCTTCCTTGGGGAAGTCGGGGACATCCCGGAGGGTCGCTTCGATGCGATCGATGAGGTTGGCCATCGGGGCAGCTCCTGTATCGAGAGGTTGGATAGGCACCGCGCGAGGTGTGCTCACCGGTGCAAAGCCAGGGGGAGCGCCGCGCGGCATCAGAGCCAGGAAGAGCGAAGCTCATCCAGGAACTTGTAGTGTGTCAGGTCGATGTGTACCGGAGTTATCGAGACCTTGCCAGCCGCAACTGCGTTGCAATCAGAACCAGGGAGGTCGTCGAAGTCGAGCTGAGCGCCGCCGATCCAGTAGTAAGGTTTACCGCGAGGATCGTGTTTTTCGGTGACGACGCGCTCGTAATCACGGCGACCGAGCTTGGTGATGACGCGCTCGGTGTCGAAGGAGGCGTCGCGTGGGATGTTAAGGTTCAGGAGCGCATCGCGGGGCAGGCCGCGCTCGAGTACCTTCTTCCCCATGTCCACGGCGACTTCGGCGGCGACATCGTAGTCGAGACCTTTCCCCCAGGCCGCGAGGCTGACGGCGACCGACGGGACAAAGGAGAGCGTCGCCTCGATCGCGGCCGCCACGGTGCCGCTGTAGAGCACATCATCCCCGAGGTTTGCGCCGTGATTGACGCCCGAGATGCAGAGCGCGGGGCGCTCGGGGAGGATGTGTTGCAGCGCCATGTAGGCACAATCTGCGGGGGTGCCGGTGATGGCGAAGCGACGCTCGCCAGCTTCCTGGATGCGCAGCGGATCGTGCAGGCTCAGGGCGCTGGAGACGCCGCTTTGCTCGCGAGAAGGCGCCACGACCCAGACCTCACCGAGCTTGCTCGCGGCGCGCTCGAGCGCGCCGAGACCCGCTGCCGAGATCCCATCGTCGTTGGTGAGCAGAATGAGCGGTCGGCTCACTGGTTCTTCTCGAGCTCTTGCTTCTCGCGCTTGAGGCGCTCGACCTGGCGCTGGAGGCGATCGAGCTCGCGCTTCATCGAGCGCAGGTCATCGCTCGTGGCGAGGTTCATGCGCTTGGCGACGTTTGCCTTGGTGTCATCGATCTGCGTCTTGAGCTGGTAGGAAGCTTTGAACGCGGAGGCGAACGCCTTCTGCGTCTTCTCGTTGCTGACGATCTTCTGCACGGTGGGGTTGCTCATCGCCTTCATCGCGCCCTTGAGCACTTCTTGTTTCCAGTCTGACATCCTCTGCCCTCGCTCTAAATCTCTGAACGGCTCTTAAAGCGTGAGACTCGCCTGATTCTTCCACCTGGGAGGACCAGACCTCACGCGCTCCTGAGATGGTTTGTGAAGGGGGGTGGTTTATCAGGAACCACGCCGTCATCACACCGTCTCGTTACTTTAACATATTTCCACGCACGCGTATTGCGAACTCGGCGAGCAAACCTCATACGAAGCAACCCAAAAGTCAAGCCTCGGGCACAGATCCGGGGCTCTCGCGAGAAGCACGCAGCAAAGGTGGACTGAGCACACGCCTTGTGCAAAACTGAGAGGAAGTCTGTATGGAAAATCCGTTGTAATTCAACACCCCACCACACCTCCACCCCTCGTGCCCTCATGAATGTCCGGCTCCCGCTCATCGCACTGCTCGCTTGCACCTCGCTCGCCTGTAACCTCTCTGACCCGAACGCACCGCTCGGGGAACGACCTGTTCAGGGGCAGAGCTGCTCGGAAGTTGGCGACACCTTCGGCAACCTCGAGTGTGATGGGGAGACCTGGCAATCAAACAACGTCACGTCAGTCGAGGATATGGAGACGCCCACCCAGGATATGGGGATGACCGCGACGGACATGATGACCACGCCTCCCGTGGACATGAGCACGCCCACTCAGGATATGTGCGCGCCACAGACCGACGAGGACCTCTGCGCGCTCGCTGCGGCGACATGCGGTGAGTTGCAAACAACCGATGCATGCGGCGAGGCGCGCACCGTCCCATCATGCGGTGATTGCGCGGAGGATGAATCTTGCGTCGCCAACAGCTGCACATGCGACGCGGTCATGTGCGATCAGGTCAGCTGTGGTGTCACATCGAACGCTTGCGGGAACGAGGTCACCTGCGGATGCGACGCCGAGAACATCTGTGACGCGGGGACATGTACGCCATACCTCACGCTCACGCCGCCCGATCCCGCGCTGACGCACAACAGCTTCGGGTTCGCGCTGGCGCTGCGCGGCAACTACCTGGCCGTCGGCGCGCCCGGGTATGATATGGATATGACCAAGTCGCGCTCGCGCGGCGCGGTGTTCCTCTATCGCCGCGATCCGAGCACGCTGGAGTGGACGCTCGCGAGCACGCTCGAGCCCCCCAACGCGTGCAACAACTGCCGCTTTGGCGCCGCGCTCGACTTCGATGACAACCAGAACATGTTGGTCGTCGGCGAGCCGGGGGACTCGAAGGTTCATATTTATACGGTCAACACCCAGACCAACACGCTCGAGCTGGACACCACGCTCGAATCACCCGATCCGTTTGATTTCACCCCAGATAAGTTCGGCTTCTCGGTCTCATCGAGTGACCCCTATCTGGCCGTCGGCGCACCTGACAGCAGGGGTATGTTTAGCCTCGTGCAAGAGGTAGGCGCTGTGTACCTCTTTAGACGGCAGGGCCAGGATTGGAATGAGGTCCAGTTGCCCGAGAACTACCATGTGCGCTCGGAGCGTATGCACCTCGGGTGGTCGATCGACCTGAGCGATGATCGCTTGCTTATAGGTTCGCCAGGCTCTCAGAACCCGAACCAGAAGGGGCGCGCTTACTTGCTCGAACGCAACGGTCAGGATTGGGCGCTGGCGAACAATGGAACCTTCAACCCGCAGGAGAGCAATCAGGGCGATCTCTTCGGGAACGCCGTCGCGCTCGGTACCCTCGAGTTCTTCGTGGGGATGGCCGACGCGAACCTCACTGGCCCGAGCGATGATGGCGCCGTCTTTCGCTATTACGGGGACACGCTCGAGGAAGAACTGTTCGATAACACCTTCCATATGCCTCAAGAGAATGACTCCTGGGGTTATGCCATAGCGACCAGGGGAGATGTGCTCGTCGTTGGCATCCCGGGCGTCGATGTCCCGCTCGATCCCACGCCGACGCGAGGACCTCGCAGCGGCGCGGTCATTTACCAAAAGGGGATGGATGGCCAGTGGGTTGGCGTGAGGCTCTTTGTCCCGATGAATGCTACTGAAGTTCACGCGGGGACGAGCCTCGCCATCTCCGAGGACTTCATCGCCGTCGGCGCCTCGGGGCGCCAGGATGATGCCCTCCAGGATCGTGTTTTCGTGCTGACATCCCCCTAGAAACGTCGCCCAAAGACCCCATCGACGCGCTTGCAAACCGCTGCCCAGGAAGGTAGCGTCCTGCCTCATCGGGAGTGGCCACGCCGCATGATGTGCGCGCGAAGCACGCCACACTTTTTCAACAAACTCTGCACAACAAACAGAAACAAACTGCCCGGCGCAGACCGTTTCTCTCATGACAGAGTTGACGACCTCTCGACGCAGCCGCGATGGAGTGCGGGGCCACCAAGCAAGCAGGCGCAAGATGGCACGACACCAACAATCCTTCTTCCAGCGACACAAGAGAAAGCTCATCATCTTTCTCGTCGGCTCGGGCTTGCTCACGATCCTCGCGCTCGGCGCCGTGGCCATTGGCTACTGGATGGTCGTCCCCGATGTCGCAGAGCAAGCATTGCGAACACGCCTCACGCGGCTGGAAGCGGACGGCAAGGTCGCCGTCAAGACCGGCAAGATCGAACCCAACGGTCTCCAGGGTGTCATCATCCGAGACTTTGTCGTCGGACAACCCGATGGCGATGGCGATCTCGTGCGCATCGAGGAGATGCGCGTCGGCATCGATCGCACCTCCCTGCTCGCTGGCAAAAAGGTCGTCTCGAGCCTCGAGGTCAAGGGCGCCACGGTCATCATCCGGCGAGATGTCGAAGGCAAGATCAACCTCGACACACTCCGCGAGCGTCTGCGCGCGAAGAGCACCGATGACAACGAGGAGAAGGACGAAAGCAACACAGATGGGAAGCCTGGGTTCCTTCGCTACTTTGGCGGCGAGTGGCCTGATGTGAGCGTGAGCAACGCGACGCTCCTGCTCGAGTCAAAGAGCGAGCCCTTCCCCATCGAGAAGATCGAAACAGCATCCCTGCTGCTCGACTCGAGCGGTGAGACGGCGACCTTTAGCACCGTCGCCAAGATCACTCAGCTCGAGGACTCCAACTGGACGTTCCCGCGAGAAGTGACCGTCAATGGCACGCTCGCGCTCCCGCTGGAGCAAACCGAGCTCTCGCTCGAGTTCGACCGCCCCTTGAGCGCGGCGGGCTTGCCGCCCTACCCCTTCCTCAAGATCGGACTGGGCGATGTCGAACTCTCGGATGGCGGCCTGATCAGGCTCTCGACATTAAGCCTTGCGACCACCTTCGGGGACGAGGAGACCGAGCTCTTCTCTGCGAACAAGCTCGAGCTCAAGCTCGAGCGCTTCACCACGAACACGAGCAAGATTCGCCCGCTGGAGCTGTTGATCAACGAGCCGAGTCTGCAGATCGAGTACGACGCGCAGGGTGGCTCGAACCTCCAGGACTTGATGCTCGCCATCCGTCCTCCACAACCTGAACACATCCAGAAGCGCGCCATCGCCATCGCCGAGGCAATCGCCACGGCCAAATCGGATGACGTCAAAGAGGAAGAGGTCGATCCTGCCGAGGAAGAAGATTCGGCGACGCAGTCGGAGGAAGAGGAAGAAGCCGAGGATGCTCAGGAGGAGCGCGGCTTTTTGGCCAGCTTGCCGCTCGACAAGCTGCTCAGGCTGACCCCTGACAAGGTCGAAATCAAGGGCGGCCTGGTGATCGTGCGCGATGCACGAAAAGTCCCCGTCTCCAAACCTTCGAGCCAGATCGAGCTCCGCGATGGCAAGCTCATCTTCACCCACGATCGCGAAAACGGCGCGCTATCACTGGATGCGGGCTTCGATGCGTTCGGAGGCAAGAAGGGAGAGCAGGATCGAGGCAGCGTCTCTATCGTGGCATCGGGCAACCACAAGACGCAGGTCTTGCAACTGTCCGCCAAGGCGCGCGCGCTCGACCTCTCGTTGCTCTCACAGCTCGCGGGAGCGAGGGTCTGGGACAAGCTCCAAGGGGGTACGTTGCGCGCCGAGTTCTCGATCGAACAGGCCGCAAAGAACACCCCGTTCGCCTTCGGTGGCGACGTCTCGCTGTCTGACCTCGTGCTGTTTCTCCCCAAGGTCGCCGAAGATCCCATCACGGATTTGACGCTCGGTTACGCCTTCAAGGGGACCTTCGATCCGATGGCGACCATCCCCGAGGCAAAGCTCCTCACGAGCCCGCTCGACGCCAATGTCCCCAAGGACCCGAACGCCAAGAGGAGCAAGCGAAAGCTGACGATTCCTCCCCCCACGAGGGGCGCGCTGGTCTTTACGAGCGGGAACGCGCGCGTCGGCGAGGTCAAGGCCAAGGTCCTGCCAGCATTCTACGGGCTGGATAAGGAGAAGCCTCTGCCCGCGAGGTTTGATCTTCGCATCGAGATGCCACCAACGCACGTGCAGCGCGTCTTCGACGCGGTACCAGACGCGCTCATGGGAGACCTGGTCGGCACCAAGATCGAGGGCAAGGTCAAGTGGAACTTCGACCTCGAGGTTCCGATGTACGACGCCTCGGAGATGGTCTGGCGCGGCGAGCCCGAGACCGACGAGTTCATGCTGATCTCGATGCCCGATGAGGTCGATGTCCGCAAGATGACGGAGAACTTCCGACACACGATCACGGATGAAAAGGTCCTCTTCGAGCGACAGGTCAAGATCCCCGCGATGAACCTGACGCCGACCGACTGGCTGATGGAGAACGCCGGGCTCACCCTCGAACAGGTCGATTATCACTGGCGGCGCGGCGAATGGTTCCCTGCCCCGGATGATATGACGCCGGAGCTCGCGGAGTCGCCCGAATACTGGAAATCACAATACGTGAAGTGGCAAGCCGCGCCCTTGCCCTGGGCTGACGATCCAGAAGGGGCGCAGATCATCCGCAAGTGGAAGCCCTACAAAGAAAATCAGACCAAGCCGATGGTCTCCGAACCATACGGCCCCTATGTCTATGTACCGCTCCACCATATCTCGCCGTGGCTTATCCGAGCGATCCTCACCACCGAGGATAACTCGTTCTTCAAGCACGATGGCTTCAACCGCTTCGCGCTGCGGCAATCGATCGAGCGCAACCTGGCCGCAGGAGATTACGTGCGCGGCGCCTCGACGATCTCGATGCAGCTCATCAAGAACCTGTATTTGACCCGCAAGAAGGTCATGGCGCGCAAGATCCAGGAGGCGTTCCTCGTCTTCCTTATGGAGAGCGTGGTCATGGTGCCCAAGGCGCGCCTTCTCGAGATCTACTTCAACATCATCGAGTTCGGCCCTGGCATCTTTGGCATCCATGACGCCGCCGTGCACTACTTCGGCAAGCGCCCGAGCGAGCTGACGCTCGCTGAGTGCGCATGGCTCGTGACGATCGTGCCTGGACCCAAGCGCTATCACTTCTACCGCATGCGCGGCGAGATGACGGATCGCTACTTCGATCGCATCAAGCGCTATATGAAGATCATGCTCAACCGCGAGAGGATCACCCAGGCCGAGTACGACGCGGCCGCCGCGATCAAGCCCGCGTTCCATATCGTCGAAGAGGATCAACCGGCGCTCAAACCTCGCGTCGAGGAGCCCGCAAAGCCGACGCTCGACCTGCTCTTCCCTGGGCTCTTCGACAGTGACGAGGGCGCGGACAAGACGCCTTCGCCGGGGCTGAATCCTTCGCCAACGCCGACGCCGACTCCCACGCCGACTCCTACGCCTACGCCCACGCCTATCCCATTGGATATCCCGCCGAAACTCGATCCTTGAAAAATTGGCCGCTGCGCATGATAAGCGATCCAGTTTTTTAGGATTCGACGAGAGCGCTCATGTCCGATTTTGGAGACATTCGAAGCCTCCTCGCGCAGCCTCCTGGCGAAGATACCTTCTCGGTGCTTTGCTGGATGCTCGGCGGCGAGGATACCCTGGTCGAGGAGCACGTCCTCGTCTATGTCGAGGAGCACCTCAGGCGATGGCCCGCTGGCATCGAGCGACAAATCCCGATGCACTGGCTCGACGCGCTCGAGTACGCGAGCTGGGCTCACCCCGGCCTGCGCTTTTGCAACGCCTTCAAGTTCGAGGATCACTCCCACCACCTCGTCGAGGATGTGCAGCGCGCGTTTCAAAACCCCGCGCTCGCCAACATCAAGCACGTTGACCTTGGCAGCCATTGGGAGGCGCGTGACCTGCTCCAGGCCATCGGTGAGGACACCTGTCATATCCGCCCCGAGAGCCTCACCGTTCGCTACATCAACCTGCCCGTCGATGAGCTCGAGGCCATCAGCCAACACCCCAACTTCGCGAACCTGCGCGTGCTCGACCTGCGCTATACCGGGTTGCGTGACGAGCAGCTGATGATGCTGGCGAACTCTCCAACCTTGCGCTCTCTCGAAGAGCTCAAGTTGCAAGGAAACAGGTTCACATCGGAAGGGATCGAGGCGCTCGCGCGATCCCCGATCCTGGCAAACGTCAACACGTTGGACCTTCGCCTGAACGGCGTCGGCGCCGAGGGCGCCAGGGCGCTCGCCGAGAGCAAATACCTCGGTCGCCTGCGGTGGCTCGACCTTCATCGCCGAGATGTCGGGGGCTCTCGCGGCGCGAAGGCGCTCGCGGAATCACACAACCTCGATCCGAACATTCGCCGCTTCTGGAGATACCATAGCAGCCTCTCGAGATAGCGCCTGACAAGGACCACGAGGCGCCCACGCCAGCGCCTCGCCCAGAACCCCCTGGGGCAGAAATTTTGATACCCGGCCCAACGCCCCGAAAACCAGTGGCAAAATTTCTGCCCCAGGGGGTTCTGGCCACCGCAGGTTGCAGACATGCAGCAACAGCACACTGACATCGACGACCTCGCGCGCGGATTCCCACACGATGACGCAGACCTCGCCGCGCTCGCCACGCCAACATCATTGGCGAGGTTGATTTCGGAGCGCCATCGCTTCACGGGGCTGACCGAGCGAGAGCGACTCGCCAGCGCGATCGGGCTGCGCGACCTTTATTTTCTGGCCAGAGCACACCCGGAAGAGCTCGAGCACGCCGAGCAAGTCAAGGCGCTGGCCGCGCTCTTTCCCGCTCGCGGCCAGTTCGAACTCGATGGCCTGGAGCTCTCCTTTCATCCCACCCAGGCGCATAAATCACTGCGGTTTATCGAACAACACCTCGTCCCTCCCATCTGGCGACGCTTCTTCGCCAGACCGTGCGAGCAGATGCCGGAGTTGATGGCGGTCTTTGCAGATCCCCAGGAGTTTCACTACCGAACCTTCGAGAACATCGTCCCGCTCGATCGCTTGTTCGATCCGGTGAGCCTCTCGCTCCAACCTCAAGAGGATGGCGAGTTCATCGGCGAACTCTTCACCCTCCGTTTGGACGCAAACGAGGAAACACGCGCGACCTTGAATCAGCTCGATGCGCTCGACCTGTATCTGCCGCCGCTAAACGAAGCATCGCGCGGAGGAAAGAGGTTTATTTTCCACTGCGCCAGGCTCGCAGACGAGCTGACGCGAGCGCTCGAGGGTGCCTTGCCCGAGCCCTGGCGAGACGGCTTCGCGCATGTCAACCCGGTGTTCCGACTCAACCGCTTCGAGCCAGGGGATGCGCCCTTCGCCTCGCACATCGACACCCCTTACAGAGATCCCTGCCGCGGCCACATCTCACGCCGCACGCTCGTGCTGTATTTGACCGGAGGGAGCGCATCCCCAGTGCTGCGCGTCGCGAATTCGACGCTCGATGAGATCGAGCCGATGACCTGCGCGCTGTTCGATCAGGTCCACGAGCACGAGGGGTTTCCGTTCGAGGAAGGGAGCAAGCTCTTCTTGCGCACCGAGCTCATCTACACCACCGATGAGGTCATCGAAGCCCCCTGGCTGGGCGCGATGTTTGCCAAGGCTTGTTACCTGAGCAGCGAGTGCCTGTTCGCCGACGAGCTCGCGCCGTTCATGCACGACGCCTACGATCGCGTCGCCGCGGCGAGGTGGGATGCGAATGGTGAAAAGCCCACGGCGGATGACGAGATCTTTGTCCACAAGGAGTTCGAGGGGCTCTCGTTTATCTCGAATGGGCATGACTTCTGGTTCGATGCGCGCGAGGTGGATCTGTGTGAAGCCGCGACGTTCGCGCTGCTCGACTTCTTCAACTGCAAGATCGATGGCGAGGTGTTTGGCAAACGATGCTCGCGCGCGGTGTTGAACAGGCCGACACATTCGGCGTGGATACCGGGGTTCCTGGACGCGCGGCGCCAGGAAACGGAGCTCGGGAGGACGGGAGAGATCGACAAGAGGCTCCTCTTTCCTGAGCCAGAGGAGCCCGACGAGGACATCGTCTTCAAGGAGCGCATCCCGGACTATCAGAGCTGGCGAGACTACGGTGACATGACGCGATGCGAGGTTGTCATCGACCTGTTTATCGAGCGCCAAAAGGCCGCGTGGAGCGAGCTCGAGCACGCCGCGATCATGATGATGGGTCAGGAGATTTTTCTGGACCGCGAGCACTTCCTCATCGAGCAGGATCGCATTTACGTGATGACCGAGAAGCCGCTGCGTCCGGTGCACTTTGCCGCGATGAGCTGGTGGGAGGTCGAACCCGAGGACTTCATCAACACAGAAGTATGTGTCGAGGCCCCTTATTTGCTCGTCCCGCCGATCCTCTACAGACGTCACGGGCAATGCATCCATCTGATATTCGACTTCTTTCGCAACAGCTGGATGGTTTCAACCAGAGAGCGTAGTATAGAAATCCCATCGCTCCAGCGTTGATATTTGCAGGCTTTCTCCCATGCGTCGTTTTTGCCAGCTGAGTTTCGTCACCTGCATGCTCGTGGCGCTCTCGATCTCTGTCGCATACGCAGAACAACCTGCGCCGATGGCGATCGCGGTGCTCTCCCCCACCCCCGATGCGCCGCTCGTGCTCGACGCGCTGGAGTTGTGCGACCAGAGCTCTCGCATCGAAGTGATCGAACCGAGCGATGCCGACACTTTGCTGACGCTCGCGCAGTCAGCGAGCGCGACGCCCTCCCCCGAACTCGCCAGGGACATGCACGCGCAGGGGCTCGAAGCGCTGATCGTGATCGAACCATCCTCGGTCGAGGGGAGCTACACGATCGAGACCATCGGACCTCGAGGGCAGGTCCACGAACGCTCGACCTTCACCTATCAGGCCAACGCGGTGAACTACCGCGCCGATCTCTCGCGCACGCTGCAAGAAGATCTGGCGACCGCCGCGCCGCACGTGCTGACCGAGCGTGAGCGGCGGCCAAAGCCAGACACCACGCTCGCGACATCGGCCAACGATGCGGATGCGGAGCCTGTCCCCGAGGAGGACCCTGCCCCGAAAAATCCAGCGAGCGAGAAAGATTCACCGCGAGCAAAGACCCCATCCACGCGAAGCGAGGAGCCGACGAACCGATCCGGGGTCGCGCTCCAGGATGACAGCGGCGCGACCCCTGCTCCCGACTATTCAGACACAGGCGAAGAAGCTTCGCTCACTGATACTGAGGGCGTGAGCGAAGACACAGACGCCGCAGCATCACCACTCGAAGCAAAGGGGCGCGACCTCTTTGTCGATGCCTCGCTGGGGCCTGTGCTCTATGACCTCTTTCTGGGGGGCTCGTTTGGGGAACAGGGCAACATCACATCCGCTGTGCTCGGCGTGAGCCTCTTGAAGATCAAACGTTTCCCGAAAGGAGGCGCGCTTCACGCAGAGTTCTCGACCAATATCAGCGGCTCATCATCGCGGTTTCCAGGTATGGTGACGACGGTGGCATCACCGCTGCTTCCAGAGGAGTTAAAGTACACGAGCCCCGGTCCGCCCGCCCCTGACGTGCCAGCGCTCGGGCTTTGGCGGACCGCGCTCGACTTCAAGCTCGACCTTCCTTCCAAACGCGCCGTGCAACTCGGACCGGCGTTAGGCGTGGAACATCAACGCGCGGCGTTCTGGATTTATGAAGACCAGGTCAGGCTAACTACAGGAAAGCTGGGACTATCGATGCATGTCACCAAGGGGAGAGCGCTCGTCGATCTCTCATTCTTTTCGCAGCTCGGTAGGCTCGCGGTCGGAGAAGGCAGCTTTAGTTCGGGCATCAGCTTCCAGCCGAGAGCTCGCTTTCTCGTGGGCAAGCGAGGGTTAACTTTGAGCACAGGGTTACGTCTCGCTGTCAACGCGAGCTCGCAAGTCGACACGGGGGCAAACACGCTCTCTGAAATCCGGCAACGCCTGATCCTCGCCGAGTTCGCGCTCGGTTACTCCCGTTGAACAGGTCGAGCCAGAGGTGCGCATGACCCGACAACTTCCAGTCATACTGCTCGTCCTGCTGGCGACAGCGAAAATAACTTTCACAGCAGCCCGAGTTCGCGTTTTGATCGACCACCGATTCACCGGAAGCAGAGAATGAATAAGTGTATATGGGCAACGCTCTCCGCATGTGCGGTGATTTTCGCGACGAGCGCGCAGGCGCAGGAAGCTCGCGCGCCAATGGCAGTCGCGATCATCGAATCTGGCGATCAGTCGATGCACAAGCAGGCGCTCGAGGCGGAGTGCGAGCGGAGCGCCAAGATCGATCTGATCGACTCGCAGCTCCTCGAGGATGCGCTGGCGGCGGTCTCGAGCGCACCGCTCGAAACTGACCCGAAGCGACAACAGCTCGTGGCTCAGATGATGCGCGAGCAAGGCGTCGAGACAATCATCGTCGTCGAGAGCTCAGGCGCACCGAATGAATACAGACTCATTGCCGTCAGTCCTTCTGGAAAGCCACAGGAACCAACAGTTGTCACTTTTAACAAGACATCCCCAGAATACGACGGGCAGATCTCATCAGGGCTGATAAAGAGCTTCGCGACCGTCGCCCCCGCCGTGCTCGCCGCGCGCGAACAACGCCCCAAACCGACTCCTCCAGATTTGGCTCCTGGCGAAAAGAGAGAACCTGCGGCCATCGAAGCGAGAGACCCCAAAACGGCGATTGCCGCTTCGGATACAGACACGAGCCCTGCACCAGCATCACTCGAACTTCGTGAAGAGGAAAAAGCTCTTACGACCGATGAGCCCGATACACCGCCAGGTGCCGATACAAAGACGAAGACGCTCTTTCTCTCGATCGGGCCAGCGATTTCTCTACTCGATATCGGGATCAACGAGGCAAACCGAGGCATCGATGAAAACCAGGCCTCGATATCTGCACAAAACACGGGATTCTCCGCGCATATCACCGCGCGCAATCCGCTGTGGCTCAAGAGCCTGATCGATGTCGAGGTCACCTACGGACGCAGCAGCATTCTGGTGCCATCCGCAACAGAAGGAGAGCTCCCTGATAGCAGCAGCCATGTTCGCAACCTCGGCATCCGGGCGGGCGTCCACGCGATGCTTATCGACCTCGCCAGGCTCGAGTTGGGCCCTATGTTCGGGCTCGCCGTCCAACGCGATCTCTACATCGGGGAGACCGTGAATATGACCATGGGTTATGGTGGAATCGTCGCCCGTATCCCACTCCGCATCGTCTTGTTCGACGCGAGCCTCTTTGGCGATTTCGGTTCAGTGAACTGGGGTATCGGCAACGGCGTCTTCGGCTACGGCTTCGACTTCGGCGCATCGATCCTGTTGGGACGACGCATCTTCTTGAGGCCAGGGTTGAGCACCATGTATCATGCCAGTGAGGAGATCGAATCAGATGTCCTCGACGCTCAGGGACCTCTGACCTCCTGGACGTTCACGAGTGGGATCAGCCTGGGCTGGTCGATTTAAGAGGGGTAGGACCTCATTCTCGAGCAAAAGCAGCGCCATGAATCGATTGCTAGCACTGACACTTATCGCACCGATGGTGTGCCTTGTCGGATCAGAGGCATCTGCCCAGCAAGGCACCACAGACGCGATCGATGCCCCGATCTCGATGGCTGTGCTCGTGCAAAAGGACGTCTCGCCGCGCATGGCAAAGGCGGTCAAGACACGCGTCACCGCCAACGAGCGCGTCGCCCCCAGGGATGGAGATGCGTTTCGCGCCTCTCTTACTGCGCAAGGCATCGACACCGAGACCTTGCTCCAGGCTGACCCTGTCACCGTCTCTGGCATCATGCGAAAACAGCAGGTCGAGGCGGTCATGCTCTTTGCCCGCAAGGAAGGAGGCACCTACCAGGTCGTCACGATCGGACCCGAAGGCACCAAGGCAGGCGACCTCTCCGCCAAGCTGACCGTGGACTCGCAAGACTTCGAGCGCGAGCTCGATGACATCCTGCTCGCGACTATCCTCCTGACACGACCGCAGGTCGTCGTGCACCGAAAGCGCCTCGCGACGCTCGCGGTGACAGGCCCGATGCCCACACAACCTGCGCCCGAGGTCGAGCCGACGGTGGCCTCGAAGCCCGCTCCGACGCCATCAGTATCACCGGCGGCATCCTCTCCAGCTCCAGAAGCAAACGCCGAGCGAGAATCACTGCTCCAGAACCGCCCCTATCCTCCACGCCTCAAACACATGACCTTCGCCGTCATGTTCGAGGGGATGTTCGACCCGGTGTTCGCCGAGAAGGACACCGCCGAGCTCGAGCTGTTGCCGCTCGGCGGGAGCATCTCTGCGGACGGGATCTTCGCTCGCAAGGGTCGCTGGGAGTATCGCTGGGATGGCTCGGCGAGGCTGAGTTATGCGCGCGCCAGGCTGGACCCGGCGAGTGATTCTGCTATCCCTGAGCAAAACATCTTCGGGCGCCACCTCGACGGCGCCGCCTCGGCGTTCACGCGCGTCAAACCACTGGTCAGCCTCGGCGGTCGCGTCGGCTTCGATCGCACCAAGCAGTTCTTTGGCGATGGCTTCGGCGAACTCGCCGTCACCAACCTCAGGTTGGCTCCGACGATGCGCATTCAAGGAGCGCGCGTCTCGCTCGAGGGAGAGGTCGGCGGCAGGTTCGGGTTTGCGACCCTCGACAATACGGCGCCCATCGTCGGCGCTGATGCGCGAGGTCGCCTCAAGCTGCTGGTCGGACACTTTGGCATCCTCACGTTCGGAGGTCGCCGCGCGATCGAACGCTCCAGCGGCCTCGAGTCCACCACGCTGCTTCCCGATGATGGTGTCTACATCCAGCGCACCACCGAGCTTCACGCAGGCTTTGGGTTCTCGCTGTAGCAATGCGCCTCCGGCGCCTGAGCAAAAAAGAAGCCGCCGAACATTTATGCTGATCGGAATCAGACGACTCCAACCTTTCAGCATAAATGTTCGGCGGCTTCTTTTTTGCGGGCCACCGCCTGGTGGTTCACGCAATCACTTCTTGAGCACGTGCGTCCAGGCAAGCTCGGTGCGACCGCCAAGGCGAAGCCTGCGGAACATCAGATCGAGCAACAGCAACCCCACCACAACCATCAGGAAGATCGGCCAGAGCTCCTTGCGGTACTTCACCTCCTCGCCCATCGGGTCGAACAACGTCTTGACCTCCGGGTTCGTCTCGCCGCGCGAGATGTCCGCGCCGCGACGCAACACATCGCGGTTTGGCTCGGTGAACAGGTACTCCTGAGGGTAAGGGTTCGACACCGTGCCGAGGCTGACGGCGATGGTGTCCCCGTTCTTATCGTGCTGCGCCTTGAGGTTGTAGGAGCCGTACTCCTCGAGCGGGATCGAGGTTTCGTAGCGTCCAGGCGCGGTCTGGCGAAGCTTGAGGTTCTTCTTCTTTCCAGAAGGTGTGGTCAGCGCGACGGTCGAGTCGAGGTCATTGATAAATCGATCCTCGTCATCGATGGCATCGACCACCACGCGTGCCTTGCCTTGCTCGACGATCGTGCGCATGGCGAGCGTGTCGCGGTCATCATTGCGCATCGTATCGCGAATCAACTGCGCCCAGAGCTTGGCGTAACCAGGCCAGCGAATCCACTCGACCGCCCAGCGGTTCTTGATATCGGATGTGAACGCGACCGATTTACCGAGGCCATAACGCCAGCGCGCGAGCAGTGGTTCTCCGGTCTCGGTCTCGAGCAGGACCTCGGCGGCGTCCTTCTCCTTGGTGGTCACAAACCCGAGCAGGTACGGCGCCGAGGTCCATGGAATCCCCTTGAGCGCCTGCGCGGTCTTGACCACGCGCGGCCTGAACGGCTCCTCGACGAGCGAGGTGCGCGAGACCGTGTTGGTCTCCTTCATGAAGATGCGCGGCACGTTGTAGGGATCATTGGTGTAGTAGTAGCGCCCCCCTCCCCCTTCAGCGACGCGACGAAGCAAGGTCGTATCACTCTGCGAACCGACCGCGACGCTCGATACGGTGATATTCTCGATACGCATCGCAGGCAGGATCTCGGAGAAGATGTTCGCCTGATCGCTGTGGCCATCGCTGAGAATGATGATGTGCTTGAGCTTTGCGGGCGTGAGCGCGAGCATCTCGTAGGCTTCCTGCAAGGCGCCCGCGATGTTGGTGCCGCCCGAGGCGCGCAACCTGCCGATGTTACTCAGGATCCTGACGCGGTTTGTCGCCGACTGCATCCTGACGAGCGGCATGTTGCCATCGTCGAAGGCGAGCACGCCGACCTTGTCGTTGCGTTGGAGGATCTCGACGGCGGCTTTTGCTGCGTCCTTTGCCAGCTCGATACGATCACCGCTCATCGAGCCTGACTTATCGATCACCAACAGGAGCGCGAGCGTCGGCTTCTTGCGCTCCTTCTTTGGCTCGAACTTCACCGGCAAGATCTTCTCCATCTGGGAGTCCTTGTACCCGCCGGGACCGAACGAAGATTCGCCACCAGCCATGATGAAGCCACCGCCGAGCTCCTTGATGTAGCGGTCGATCAGCTGCATCTGCCCATCCGAGACATTGAGCGCGGGCACATCACTCATCAACACGAGGTCAAAACCCTCGAGGTCCTTGAGCGATGTCGGCACGCCGAACTCACCGCGCGTCTCGACCTCGAAGTTCTCGCCGCGCAAGGCGCGCTGGAGGTAGTGTCTGGCGCGTTGCTCCCCCTCCAGATAGAGGATGCGCGGCTTCCCGCGCACGTTCGCGCTGTAGACGAAGGAGTTGTTCTTGGCGAAGTAATCCTCGCCATCGACCTTCATCTCGACCTTGAACTCGCGGAATCCAGGCTCGTACACCTCGGTCTTGAACTGAACCTCGGTGAGCCCCGGTTCGAGCTCGACCTTCTGGGTGCCATCCTTGAAATCATTCTGCCAGAGCGTCAGCGTCGCGCTCGTCTTGACCGTCGAGAACACGCGCGCGGTGAACACGAACGGCTCACCGATCTTGAGCTCGTCGGGCACATCCACGCCGCGAACCAAGACCTCTGGCCTTGGCTTGAAC